AAGACTAGAGGGAAGGCAGCTAGTCATCACCACCCACCGCCAACTCTTAGGCTACTCTTTTACCAACGAATAGTGGGTTTGACCGTCACATTATAACGTCCCTACGGCTGAACGGGCAAGCATGTTTGGTGTGACGGGGATTCGAACCCGCGACTCTCAGACTGCGAATCGAGCGCCCTAACCACCTGGTCATGCCGGAACTCCTTGTACTGACCTGGATTTCTAGTTTGTGCGGTGACCAGTAACCCCCCCGCATAAAAACTAATTGGGCACCCTATATTTATTCCCCTTGTCGGCAATTTTAAGTTTGTCAGGCCCTTTAGACTCGGGTCCACCTGCAATTGCAGGGACTGCGGTGGCATAATCCGTAAAGATATTAACGTACTCGCCCCTTTACGAAATCACGTATCCATGTACATATATGGACCACCATCTTGACCGCCTAGTTTCGGCTTGGACTTCTATTATGTGCAGTCACATAACTCATAAATATCTGGTCCCATATTTTGGTGTCATATTATACAACTTAGATCTGGATCTCTATCTTCCTTCTTTGTAATCACGTACTTCTGTACAGATATTGACCTTCATCTTAGGGGAACACAATTTTAAAGCCCCACAGAAATTATGAACCCCATTTTTCTAATTCACATAGGATATACGGACCTCTATGGCATGGAGTAGCCTCGCCCCATTTACTAATGAATCTCCATCTTATGGGGTCACAAAATATTACACTGACGTGTATCTCTAGTTTCTATATTCTCGAAATCTTGTACAGATTTGGAAACCCATCTTGCTTGTTGTGTGATAGCAAAATGGAAAATGCATTAACCACGTGGGTTATCCAAATCATTACATTTACACCGGATTTGGACCTTATTGTTGAGCTAGTCGCATGTTATCAAGGGTCATTCCCATTTTTTGGTGTTGCTGAACTTAGCGCGTTAGTTATTGCTAGAGAATTTCTTGTACTTGCACTAATGTGTCTTATAGTGACGTCGGTCTTGTATAGGTTTAGTGATACCTTACCTGGAGGCTATATCCTCCATATATTTGCCTATGAAATGATCAAGTTTCGTGAGTGTCTACTTTCTTCCTTCAATTCAGACAGTATTTTTTCTGTTAAACCTCTAGTTAGATTGGTTATTGTTTTTACCTGATATAATTTACCTGATAATCACATAGTCCTAAAGACATCTGGACTTTCCCTTGAAAATTAACCCCTTGAACCTTCAGCTTAAATTTCTCACACTAAATGTCACATAGTTTCTAGATTTACAGACATTTATTTTTGACACGCGATAAATACAGTTAGAGGCACTTCATTGGTGTTTCAGAATATCGAAACCCAATTTCTAGCGTTATAAGCTCTCAGACTTACCACTGAGCCATCAGGAGAGAAAAGCTCAGGTAATTTATCTCTTTGCTTTGTGTTACATTGTTTTACGACATTTTGTTCTTGTAACAGAATTTATTATTACGACCCCCCCCCCGAGTAAGTTAGCGGCAAGTATGCAGACTTGCGACTCTGAAAATTGGATTTTGATGCCTCTAGTGAGAAGCGCACAGTTTTCCATTGTATAGCGTTGTGCTTAACAACAACCAAATTAGTCTTTAAAAAAGAAAACAACTTACGATTCTAATTGAGTGTCGAATGTCAGTGCTATATTTTTTCTCTATAATTAAAGAAAATTACATCTTTCAAGAAATATCATCGTTTATCAAAATGTATTTCTATGATCGTAATGAAACGAAGTAACTATTACTACTTATATGTATTACAGAAGTACCTTATACACGATCAACGCATAAAGCTATTTCAGTATATATATTTTTCTAACTAACTAATAGCTCATCAAGAGACTAACAATTTATGCATGTAAGAGTCGTTCCTAAACAGACCAGGCTTTTAATAAGTAACGTAAACTTAACAATGTGGTTGTTATTAAGCGCAAAGCTGCATGGCAGACTAACTGCGATGCTCATCGCAGGGATCGAGTCCCGAGATTTAGCGTCGTAAACCCTCAAGCTCACCATTGAGCAATCAAATCAATGGTATTTCGTCAACATACTACAATATCTATCTATCTATATGTAATAATTGAAAGTAGAAGTTGATGTGTTCAGTGTTGATTTTGTTCATTATTTTCAGAGCTTTTTGTCATATTATTTGAAAACGTATATTTTCTTACAACCTTTATTAACAACAAGCCCGCATACATTATACGAATTATTATTAGCAGAGGCATGCTAGAGTTTAAAACATCATAAAAACATACATTTGATTCAATAAAAAAAGTTCCGGGCGTGTCTAGACTTTGAATTTCATGATTCGCGTCCAGTTACCAAAAAAATAAAAATAAATAAATAAAACTATTTCCCGAACTTTGTGACTCTAGGTACTCTAAAGAGTGACGATTATATTATACTGTTCGGTCATATAAGAGTGAGTGGTCTAAGATTGGCAGTGAGTACTGTTGCCTAGCTAGCTGCATTCCCTCTAGGTTATCACTTCAGAATTAGGGATGGCTATGCGCAGATAACCATTGTGTAGCCTTGCGCGAAAGAATGTAAATAAACAAGCAATCAAACAAAAATCAAGTAAAAAGAGTAATTTGTGAAAAAAACCACTGGAATCTACAGAACTTCCCATTTAATTTACCATGTATTTAACATTTCATGTAATGGAACAAAAATAGCCCTAATTTTATGAAATAACTTACAAACCGCGTCTTCATTTCATTGCCAACTGGAAACATAAGCTTAATGATTTTGTTTTTCAAGGAAAATTGTAATTTTGTCGGTAAGTCATGCACCCAGGTAAAGTGTATTTCTTTTCAACTTTTAATATGACAAGCACATCAGGAGTTCACTGTACACACTGCAAGAAATGGAAAGAAGGCTGCTGTGCAATGAACTCAAGTGCAATCGCACACATCAAACATCCAGGTTTTGTACGATTAATGATAGTAGCTAAGCCTAACATGAACACACAAGTCAGTACAAAAAATGGAGATCTATTATGTATAGACCAGTTATGAACCATAATACAAAGCATTTTGGAAGGAAGGTTAAAACACTTAAAACGCCTACTCCGTAGTTGTAAATCATTCTATCAAGAGTAACATGGTGATTTCACCGAAAGTGTAACACCCTGATAAACATCTTGTTTCTACACATGTGGATCTATTTAACTATCTATATATACTTAGAAGATCACCAAAATGTTTTACAGTTAAAAAAAAAAAGAAGAGGATAGCCAAAATTATCGACCATTATATCATTTCACCGAAACAAAATATGTTCATCTAAGTTGTGTTAGTTAAAAATACCTTTAATAAAGTTTGGGCTCACAACGAAAGCAAAAATAATCTTTCCGAAGCGATGTTCGAAAATATTAATATAAATTCTCCTCATGTAAAATTTTGACTCTCTCGTACCATTACGTCACATGAAATACAATCAGCCTACAATTTTTAAATGTCCCAAATCAAAATACGTATTCGTGGTGTTTAAGATTGTATAGAAGGCTAATCACACGTTATAAGAACGATATACATATGTTAATGAAATGACGTGTTACTACAGACGAAAACAGCGGCGCTATAGAGGGTATTTTAGTAACATAAATATATTTGGTTAAAGGCGAATTCTTAACCATTCAATATCAGGATAACACCACAGGTAAGTGTTATAGTGAATATCTTAGACGATGTATAACCAAGGTGAGGCAGTGGAAAAACTTCCCTCATTCGCAATGTTAAGGGTATGGTTGCGAAAAAGAATCCTTCAACCCAAAAAAGCCATTGCGATAAACTGAGAATATCTTCTGAGAACGGTTATTAGATAATAAAGAAGGATTGAGGGCTCACAGGCCAGAACTTTAGAAGTTTCCAGCCACGTCTCAAGAGAAAGATGGCCGAAGAAACTGAAAACAACTCAGCAATCTATTTCGAGAATACACTTATCAAGCCCTAAGATAAAGATCCTATGGATTGTGGTGCATTTGAGTTACAACTTGTTGAGGGCAAATCCACATGCAATGAAGAATCTCTGAAACTTTGTGCAAAATGTGGGGTCTAATTAAGACTGATATAGTCGTCTCTCACAGAAATCTGTTACAATGGAAATTGCGATATGGGACAAAAGTATGTAATCATGGCTATTAGACTGCGATCAACGATGGAGCCAATAGATCCAACGGCAGTTTGGGATCTGGAACATTCTACTTATAAGGTGCGATTTAACTCTCAGTAGAGAAGTCTATATATAATTTTGATCACTAAGCTAAAAGTAGGGTTCAACGTGGCCCAAGGGTAAGCGTGCCAAACTGTGGATCCGAGGTCCTGTGGTTTGTGCCCTGTTACCGCAAAAAATAAAATAATATAAAAAAAAATCACGCTGCAAACTTGGGGGTCGTGGTTGCGTGATAGTTAAACCCCTCTATTCGATTAAAGCAGCCCACGAGTTGACGGTGGGTGGTGTGGACTAGATAGCTGCTTTCCCTCTAGTCTATCAGTTCAGAACTTGGAACAGACTAGTCCAGATAGCCGTCGAGTAGCTTTGCGCGAAATTCGGTAACAAAGACTATCACAAGATATGTTTAGCATGCATTTTGAGTTACATATCGATAAGTAGGAAAACAAACAAACTTAGTAAGTGTGACAGATTTGAACATAACCACATTCTCCAGAGAATAACAATACATCGCTGTGACTTATTCAGACCTGTGATGCTTTCCAAATAAATATACAAGTTTATTTTTTAAATATACTAACAGTTTTTGTTACAGCTACTGCAATAAACATACTAATACAGTTTACTTAAGTTCCAGTTATTGTCATAACCAACGGAACGAATTTTTCTAATTATTTGTAGAAGAAAACCACTTGTATTTAACTGTAATTTAATTTTTATTTTACTATATTTTATATCAGAGATTTTTTATTCTCTTCCATTTGTGTATTGTATCAAAGTTAATAACCATTAGGGAAATATCTGCATGGTTATTAGTTTATTTATATATGCACAAACGTATACAAACACATAGACATAACCCTTGAAATAAACGGAGAATTTTGGTAATGGACTCCTGTAGTAAAAAAGTAACGGAAAAGCTAACAGAAACTTAAGACTGAAGATACACACTCGATAAGGTGACGTAAAACACGACCCGGACGTTAATCACGTGTACGTTTCTCAGACCACGAATAGCAGAGGTTAGTTGGTACTCAAATATTTAAAGAGCTATAGTATCATCTTTTTTATCGCGAATGGTATCGCTACCTAATTTTCCTTTATTAAGCCCACCGTAAGATTCACACGTGAACCGTAAAGCAGGCTTACTGATCACGTAAATTTGTGAGGATGATATGAGTAGAAAGGAATTCTAGAAGTAAATTTAATTTTTACTTTGTGTTTAGGGAATATCCAAGTGACATTGAACCATAAAAATAATCACCACGTTGCTTTTCTTTCGGTGAGTTTTAATCTATAAGATTAGCATCATGTAACTTGCTTTTAAATGAGTTTTAAACCATAAAACTAATCATCATGTAACTTCCTTTTTAGGAATTTTAAATTATAATAATCACCACCATGTAACTTCTTTTAATGACCCTAGTGAAAATGTCCTATATAGTATTATTACAGTAAAATTTACTATAATAAGCTAAAACATTTTTTGCAGTATTTTTTAACATTTTACAAGGAAGTTACTTTAGTTTTGTTGCAAACTTGTTGCACTTTTACAGTAAAATATTAGTATACTTTCATAGTGGAATTACTGCAGCATTAATGTAGTACTTTTGTCACTTTACTACAAGGAAGTTACTATAGTTATCTAGTATATTTAATGCACCTTTATTGTAAAATTTCTTTAGTGTTCCACATTTTCAAAGTAAAATTACTGCAATATTACTGCAAATACTGCATTATCAGGATAGCTTTGTAGTATAATCTAATTTCAGCATTATCATTAACATCAACAACGAACACTAAATACCACCATAATGAAACATTTATTACATTTTAATAAAATACAATAATAAAGTAGTTATTAAGTAGTTACTAATATTTTGAATCAGATTTTTTTTAACATCTCTTCGTTGTTAAATTTCGACACTGTTGCCTGACGAATATCTCCTCTTTCGTAGTTGAACTTTGTGCACACGTGAGCTGTAAATAAAAAAATTCATAAGGTTAATTCTTTCCTGACAAAAAAAAAAGAAGAAACACATGTTTTTGATTAATACTGATTGGCGTTTTAAAGACGGAAGCGAGAAAACCAAGTCTATTTTTGAGGCAATGTTTTGGTTATTAGACATTCTAAAAACCTGTTTACATCAAGAAAGATTGAAATATGATCTACTTCATTTTCATTCCAGTCAATTTTATTATTACAAGTGTTCAAGAGAAAAGTTCGAACTGAAATTCCATGCATCATTAGTTTTTTCTCACAATGCAGATGATATTTTGGTTTCAAGAAATGGCCTGGTGGTTAGAGCCTTGGACTCGCAATCTACAGGCCGCGAGTTCGAATCCCATCACCGAACAAACTCGCCTTTTCAACCGTGGGAGAATTACAATGTTACAATCAATCCCACTTTTCGTTGGTAAAAGAGTAGCCCAATAGTTGACGGATGGTGATGTTAACTAGCTGCCTTCCCTCTAGTCTAACACTTCTAAATTAGGAACGGCTAGCGTAGGTAGCTCTCGAGTAGCTTAGTACTAGCCTCCCAGCGGTATTTCTGCGGACTTACAACGCTAGAAACCGGGTTTCGATACCTGTGATGAGCAGAGAACAGATAGCCCATTGTGTAGTTTTGTGCATAACTTCAAACAAACAAATAGCTTTGCACGAAAATTCCA